GCGTGGTTGTTGAAGAAAGAGTGAAAGAAGTATATAGGTAAAGAAATTGGAGATGAAGAAATGAAATAGGAAAATGTTGGTTGATAGTTTATATAAAGTGGAATGCAGGCCTAAAGGAAGGAAGATAACCAAGTCTTAATTCATTGTTAAAATCGTAACCGAATATATTATAATAAGGAAGGTCCTTCCAAATAAGAAAGCTAAATTATGATTAAGATAGATAATTTTAAAAGTAAACAATGAATTCTATTTTGAAAAGGAAATACTTTGTTATTGCTTTATGTTTACTTTTCTTTCTCCTTTTGTCTTTATCATTTAGGTAATGATAAAGTAGAAAATGTTGTGTATGGTTAGATAATAGGGACATTTAAATCATTAAACTTATTGAATCAACATAGGTGGATTTTATGATGTGCTAGTATTACCATCCTATAACTCTTCATGTGTTGTTATAAGCCTATAGCAACCACTCCTAGATTTTCTTCTTCTTTTTTCCTCTTATGTTGTTGACAAGCTTGGGTAAGGTGCAAATGTTAAATTTAATGAGAAAAAGGAAGGTTTTAATTAATGAAATTCTGGAGTTAAAAGTTTATCCAGCAATAATTAAAATTTAATTGTGAGTAACCATCTACAATGAACATGAACGGGTAACTTCAAAAGTAGGATAATTAATCTATTGTAACCGATCAAACTAAACGTATATAAATTCTTTTAATTTTACTGGACTATACATGCTTTAAAAATAATAATGCAAGATTTAGAAAAGGTAACTTTCCTTTTCCTTCTTGCAATTAGTGTCCTTAGTGTTGTGCCCTGATTTTATTTTTATTTTTTAAAAAGGTGTATTTGAGTTGCCTATAATTATTGTCCACCTGTGACAATCTTTGGAGCAGTATCATCTGATAATTACACCCCAACAGTTGAATCAATGATCTTGTAGCATGTGGAAGACACATAGTGTTCAAGACAACTTGGGTGCACTTTTATTATTTCACCCGATATCTGCTGCCTTCCACTTTCACTAGCACAGATACTGAGTAACTCTTTCTACTAGCACAAATATTGAGTAACTCTGCCTGCCAAGATTTGGACTATGCGAATAAATCACATATCATTTTTGTCGATTTCTTGGCTCTTTCTTAAGGTGGTTACATAGATAAAGGAATTGAAGTTAAACTAATAAGCAAGTAGAGTCCTCTTCCACCCAATAATATCAGTTTCTTCTGTTTCATGGTAACCCACCATCACAGCTATTCAAAAACTACAGGTGATTGAGCAATTTTGGACAATGACAACATCAAAGTATATCACGAACAAGAAAAAATCTTATTAATCAAAGCATCACTTATACAGAAATTTAGAAGTCAATCAATCTAACAAGAACCAAAAGCAAAAGGTTGTTACAAAACTCACAATTAAAAGAATCATTAACACGAGATGCTGACACTTCTAAGCTTTGTCATAGAAGAGCCAATTAAAGGCATTGATAACCAATTCTCAAGCAATTGCTGCCTATGTCGTCAGGTCTGATTAGAAGTTCAAAAATGAGTGGAACGAGGGAATTTAGAGGGGAAAAAAAGCCAGGCAAGCTTTAATTGAAGTAGGGGCGAAGCTCCTCTCCTTACAGTCAAATGGCTTTCACTCCTCATAGAGAGTTAGAAAGCATCAGTTCCCATAGCGAGGCTTAGGCCGACAGTTTCTTCGCTTAATTCAAGGACACCTGGGATTCCATTGCAGACTTACCTTTGCCAATATGAAGCTATCTGTTCCAAATCTGAGTAATGCAAGCACTGATTGAAGAATAGTGTTAGAATATGCAAACAAAGTTCGAGGTTGAAGCATGACTATGGAATCGAATGAAATAGTATTATAGATAAGCTAAAAATTTTTTTACAACAAAGACAAGATAAAAAAAATCATTGCCAGAAAACAAAATAAGAAAGGAAAGAAGATACATTAAGAACTAAAACAACATGTTGAATACAATTCTACGCTCTCCTTTGACTAGATGAGATCTCCTGATCGCAGTCATCCAACTAAATACATGAAAATCAAAGATTAAGTGAGAAATGTGTTCAAGAGTCCTTTGAACTGCTTGAGTTCTCATCTTTCCAAGATGCTTGCCACTGCTTGTCATAAAAAGTAGACTCTTCAACCAACTTTTTGACTGTTTCTATATCCTCATTCTTGCGGATCAGAAGCACACCAGCCACAGCTATAAACAATAGTGTTTTGCAAAAGAAGTTGCCCATTTGATCGACGAGGCCTACACCAGTCAAGCTATCCACAAAATAGGCCATAAAGAAACCAACCATTGCAGCACGACCTGCATAAGATTTACATACTCTATTAGTTGATCAGTTTAGTAAAGAAATATTTACAGCTTTCGTATTTGGAACTGGAAACAACTACTGGAAAAGGGTACGAGCAAACCATTGAGAAGTTCAGCTTCAGGGAGATGGAATCTCTTCATCCATGCCCACCAAGGAATAATGGATGTGTCAAAAAGCACAGGTTCTTCATTACTTGATGACTCTGGATTATCTTCCAACCATTTCCTTCTCCGAACCTCTGCAGATGAATAGCCATTCGATTGTTAGTAAATCAAGCGATTTCATATGAGTGCCCCAAAGGCGGCTCTAGAAAAGGAGATGTATGATGTTTTCTACTCTTAATAACTGCTAGGTATACCTTATATCAAGCTAAGACAATGTATAATTGGGAAACATCTAGTGTGTGTAAATGACAAGGAAAAAAGAATGAAAAAGTACAAGTTTTATGGTGCATTACACCATCTGATAGACTTAATTGATGGCTGACCATAAGCTCAATTCAAAGGCATAGCAACTAAAATGGAGAAAAAAAGATCAATATGGTACAACATTTCTATTAAGAGTAACAACCACATAGTTGCTGGTTTAATTCACCAACTTCTCATAAATCCTCAATTGTCATATACATATGATAAAAAATCAAGATGATGCATCAAGCATGAAACAAAGCATCATTTCCCCCAACAAAGTAATAAACTTAGTGCTTTATCACGAAGCATATCAAATCGACAAACTTTGGTCATGACAGAAGGCTGAATGACACCACATCTACTCCATAAGTCATAGAATGTTCCATTTCTAGGTTACCCCCCTCTTTTAGTTGTTCATCAGCTCCCTGCTTAAGGACTAAAGACAAAAGTTACTGGAACCATTTCTTAACCATGAACTTTTACTTCTTTGTATAATCCAAATATCAGTACTAAAAAAACTCTTTATGCTATTCAACTAAGGAAAAACAATAGCTAGTAGAAGTATCATCCGAAACAGCATTCACTGTAGCCAGACTGAAGTACAATTTTGGTAATCATAAGTCAAATAAATTAAATTAACAAAAAAAGAAGTTGCATGTCGAAAGCGAAAGAACAAAAGCTAAAATTAGTGGAGCAAAGGAGCAACATGCAAAGCAGAGAGGCAAAGACTCACCAGCATCAATAACAGAATCCCAATGGGTCTCTCCATCTTTCTTGAACTGCATCAAATCCCAAGTCCCGCTAACCCATCTAGGATCTTGAAATTTTTTTACAGTCTCCGGTGCCGGAGCTCCGGTGGATACAACCGGCGCTGACCCATTAGAGTCCAAAGAAGCCTCATTTGACTCCTCAACTTTCAAAGGAGCTTTTTCTTCAGGTATTTCTGGCTCAACAGTGACAGCAGAAGTAGAAACTACACCACTTGACCCATTATCAACAGCTCTCGGAGAAACCGAGAAAGAGAGATGGGGTTTCTTTAAAGTTAGAAAAGGATAAGGTTTGTGGGTTGAGAGATGTTTTGAAGGAGAGAGAGTAGGGAAATGAAGTGGAGGAGCTGAGAATAAGGCCATTGACATTATCGTAGCTGTTTGAAGAGGTAATGGCAGAGAAAAAGAAGAGCTTTTAGGACATTGGTATACTGATCTCTCAACAATCCTTAGCCGCAGAAATGGGGGAGGGGCTTTTGGATTCGTTTGCTTTGCTTAACTTTTAAAATAAAATACATTTCCTAATAGAAAATACACACATATAATATAATGTATGAGACCAGAAGTGACGCGTAACAGCTAAAGTTGTTTTTATTTGGTTACGATTTCAAGTTGTGAAAATAGCCTCATGCAGAAATGTACAGTAAAACTGTGTATAATAGATATTTGTGGTCCGATCCTTCCCTAACCGTGCATAGCTAGGTGTTAGTGTAATTGCCACCAGAACCAAGTGAATAATTGACTTCTTGGCTCTTTCTCACATAGTACAAAAGGCTTAAATACTTTAAAGTATGAGAGGCGTATCTGTGACTAAATTAATATAGGGATATCTACTGTAATTTAGCCATTCTTTTTGCTAATTAAACAGCCCAATTTGGTTATTCAATTTTTGTACTTATTATCATCAGCAAAATCCAATAGATTTCAATGCTGCTTTAGCATTTTTAGTATTCTGTTGCCTGACTATTTGTATTTTGATACCAATTCATTGAATTGACCAACTGTTAAGACCAGTTTTGCGCTGCTAAATAAAATTGAGCTTAAGTTCTGTGTTATTAATGTTTAACTTTTTCTTACAATTAAACTAAGTTGACAGAAAACAACAAGTAACTCATAGCAAATTTGTTATGGTAATCTCAAAATTAAAGTAATTATTATATTCTGGTGCATATACCTTAAATTCCATAAAATTATGGACTTATCATACTCATTACTTATGTTAATCAACAATTATACTTATGTTACTCTTGCATGAGGTAACAACAGGTTCATCGATCTCTTAAAAATAATTTTAGTTCTCACTCTAATTAGCACTCTGATTATAAAGATATACATTAGTTGCAAGTTACAAGATAATACAGCTAAATTATTATAGTTTTAATTATGCATTTAATTTTCCAAATTAGAACCATGCACTAGTTGCAAGTTGCAAGCTAAT